CTTTTTTTAATTCCTTAATAACTAGCTACTCGGCCCGGCTTCGCACGGGTACAATGTATTATAAACCTTCCTCTTAATCACTCTATCTAGTAAAAAAAAAACACATCATAATCCGTTGCGTAGTTTTAAAAATCTAAACATAGAGGGACAGACAGACATCGGGACTACTTTGTTTTATACTATGTAGTGATACCGGCCGGTGATCGGACGGACTTGTTCTGTATCTTACTTACACAATATTTGAACAACGTAATACGACGCACTCATTTGTATTAACATAATGAGAACTTAATAATAATTTTGATCGGTGACATGTGTTGGGTGACGAAATTGTATTGCAACATTACAATTATAACATATACGATTATAACATTGGACGGCCACTCCAACAGCTGTTGTCAAAATTCTATCTATCTGTAGATTTGGTTTCTAGCATAGATATTTGACATTTGATAAATAATACTTACGTCTAGATTCTATCTCTAGTAACCAAATTCAAACATAGATAGAATATTGAAACCGGCCGTAAATCGATGCGATAATTTAATTTTAATGTAGTAGTAGAAGTTCGCCCCTGTAAATGACGTAAAGGACACTGTAGTTGACAGTGGTACGGCCGCAACGCAGCAGCCTCTTCTTTTGCACGAATGGGCAGTCTCGTCCGGGTAAGAACCACGACCTCACAGAAGATCGGCGTAAAGTGGAAGTATAATACTTTCGCGTTTCGTCTGGTGAATGAGGTAGCCGGAGTCCAATATTCAATATTCAAAGTTGTTAAGCGAGCAAGCGGATCGGTCGCTTAACAACTTTCGTTCGAACAATGTTCGTTACCAATTCGGATGTCGATGTCGGTGACATCCGATGTTAGACATTTCACCAACGGATGCCAACATCGCAAACTGACATCCGGTATCAACATCGTTGTTAGACGAGACTAGACGAGTCTCTACACGATACTAGTAAACTTCGTGTCGAGCAAAACAGTCGCGGGACAAATGTCGCCTAGTGAAACGCGGCCTTATGTTTCAAACGGAAGGCAACGAGCTGTTGGTAAGTAATCACTGCCACCCATAGACAAACAACAGCATTAATGTTGCATGACCGTTGCCGACCACTGAGTGGACAAAATGCAACCCGAATTAGGTCTAAATTTTCTGCTTGTTCCTTACGCTACACGCTACGAACTAAGACTTTAAAATTCAATATCTCGAGCGGATCGGTAAAGGACGGAAAACACGTCGAAACGCAATGCCGGTGCCATTTTTCAATTCTAATGACCCCGACCTGTCTACTCCTGTTCACAGCTGCGCGAGAATATTCATTTTATGCATAAAATAACGGAGCCCGTCGAAATTAAATTCAGGCCCGTCTTGGTGATACGAATGCTTCATTGACAATATTATTCTTTTCATTCATCGACTCATTGAGGAAAATTTATCCATTTTTTATTAAATTAGGTATAATGAAACTGAGAAAGCATGTCGCGTAGTTATGACACTGCTTAATGACGTAAACATGTTTATAAATATAAATATACATCTATTTCGGGCACCATGTATATATTTATTTATTATATTAATCTTATATATATTGAACTGTACCTGTCAACTATGTCTGTGTAACCTGTCAAACACTACCAAATTTCCTCGCTTGCCGAGTTAGCTAGTCTAATATATCAAATTCTCGTGTCAAGGTGTTTGTAATTGAACTCCTCCAAAACGGCACGACCGATTTTCGTGAAATGATTTTCTGCATATCGGCCAGGGTGGAGAATCGGACAATATCTATTTTTCATCCCCCTAAATGCTAAGGGTGGTCCCCCCAAACATTTTTTTCTACCCTACAAATAATATACATGGCAAAACAACGTTTGGCCGGTCAGCTAGTATAATATGTATATTTGGTAGGTCTGAGAATCGGTCGTAATCTATTTTTCATACACCTAAGTGCTAATGGTGGTCTATCCAAAACATTTTTTCTACCCTACGAATTCCTTAGAAATAATTTATAATATGGCAAAACAACGTTTCCGGGTCAGCCAGTATATTTATAAAGGGCAGTCAGAATTTGTCACGTTCACAATGAGACATCAGTCTGTGGCGCAATTGCCAAGGCAGTGGCTTGCGCAACGAGGTCATGGGTTCGATTCCCACACGGGACAATTATGTGTGACCCCACAGAATTTTTTTAATCTCGGTGTTTGACCACATGAAATTTATGTATGTAGATACAATACAGGAAAATTTTATCGTTTTTTTTTAAATAATCACACACAAGAGGCACCATGGAACATTAAAAGAGAGAGGAGTGGTAAAAAAAAAGTAGTTCTAAACGAGCCAAATTTGTTTTTTCCAAAAAATACGAATAATTTTGAAATTCAAATTCGCCAATTCAAAATCGCCATCGGACTAATTATGCGCCGCCATCGGAACATGTTTGGTAATCGAATATTTGTAGAGGACCGAACGGTAACACGTACACGTCCAAAACTGGGCCTTTTGCTTATAAAGTGCTGTTTACCAATTTGCCCAAACCGTGCGACGGGGGAAATTTGCACAGCACCCCAACGTCGAGAGGGTGCCGATAGGTGTTGGTTTGTTTAACGATACAGAAATGAGCTCACAACTCTCTCGCAAATGGGATCGACAGCCAAATAATGTTAACCAACTAAAACAGAGTCGTGTTTAAGTTGGTCAAAGTCTGCGAGATTCGGTATCAATCTTAGTGACGCACACGGACTTTGAGAAGAAAAGGAAGTTATGTATTGGGTTTTTTTTTTAATTTAAAAATGATGACTCCATGGCGCAGTTGCCAAAGTATTGAATTCGTCGGAGATCGTGGGTTCAATTCCCACCCGGGACAACTATTTGTGCGACCCCACCAGATAGTTGTTTCGCATCTGGGTTTTTGTCTATGTGAAATTTATATTTATAAAACGTCTTTAAAACACAGGATAATGTTATCCTAAAGTGAGGGCAATGTTTAAAAAAAAAGATTAATCTGTGGAATTTTTGGTGATTTGGCATATGCCGAGATTTTCAACCGACTTCAAAAAAGGAGGAAGTTCTTAATTAGGTTGTATATTTATTATGTTTGTTACCTCAGATTTCTGTCATGAACCGATTTAAAACTTACTTTTTGCTTTGGGTTCGGTTTAGCTCCCATGTGGTCCCCCTATTAATTCCAAATATATGGCCAGTGAAACATTTCCGACGGGTTTCTGAAACACTGATCATCGTAGATGTTAACTAATCAGCTGTCAAATGGCTTTTCAAATGTCATTGGAGTTGGCAAAAGGATGGTTAAACTGTTTGAATTGATCATTGATTCATATACAGCGTGTCGTTACCATCGCGACAATAAATGAACACACATATAGGGGATAACTTTTTAAAGTTGTATTAAACATTTAAATTCTTTAAACATCAATATTTACATAGTTATTAAATTTTCCAAAATTTTAGAACATCCTTACCTATAAAAGCGTAACGTAAAGTTCATTTGTAAAGATCACAAAGCATATGAATGGGTTGAATGAATTTAAAAAAAACAAAACATACTGTTAGAAGGAGAGGCTTGTAATGCGACGCTATGGCACGAGTTGTATAGGATGTTACAAATTTTGTTTCTTTTTTACTTAATTAGTTTGTTTGAAAGATGTTTTTTTTTAATTAGGGATTTTGTTTAACGTTAATATTTATATATATATATATATATATATATATATATATATATATATATATATAATATATATGCATGTATATAACTTAATATATGATTTGTATCCAATTATAATATTATTTTCATATATATTCTCTTTAATTAAAATTTTATTATTCTTGCATCTTTTGCTGCACCTACCATAAACTCTCACCACATCCTGGGTTGACTGGTAGAGAATGCCTTTGGGCATTAAGTCCGCCCTTTGTTACCTTGTTTTACTGAAGGTTGGCAATAAAGATTAAATAAATAAATAAAAATCATTCTGATCAGAAGAAAATTATTCTGATTCCGGTTCATGATCTAAATGACTCTTTTATTTTGCGAGTCCAGATGATTTTTTCTTTTTTTTATCCCTTCTTTTTTTTCAAGTTCCTTCTTTTGTAACAAAAAACAGAGTAAGGTTTGCTTTTTCAGGTGGACTATGTATATACATTTGTAAATACATCTCGCAGTATTGCGTTGAATTTATTTTAATGAATAGAATATATTATAATCAAAACTTTTTCACATTGTTCACGTCATCGTCAAATAACAATACGAAAAAGTAGTTACTCTTTCAACAATAGGTTCTCTTTGCATAGTGGCCGTTGGTATAACTACTATGCAACAGACTTTTTCAGATTTAATATAAGCAACAATTTAACTAGTTTTACGTTCGGTGTGTCATAGATCTTTACTTCACAAATTTACAATGGTGCAAGCGACATTGATATGAACTCTATTGTACCCATCCTGTCTTACTGTAATCTAATATCGTATATCTTAGAAACGGAGACACACTAGAATAATCACGATATTTCGTCATCCATTCCGATTGTAAATGGAACAGCCATAGATTCATTGGCGAGCAGTAAAACTTAAGTCATAATAGTAGGCACACGTAATGAAACGACCGCCGATATAATGTGTACAAGCGAATAGAACTGCGTATGTACATACACGGACTCGACACATGTAGATGTGAACTCATGTTTGTGTACGTCCGACGCGTGCACCGAGCAACGACATAACGTCGAATTTCGTCTATATTTTCCCGCTTATTTACAATTTATTAGCGTTGGACACATGAGGGCGCGTTGGATAATCAACAGGTCGAAAACGGGCGAATCGGCCCCGCAGGATAGCGGGCGTATGAAAGTACAGATCAGCCGGAGTCATACTTACAGATAAACTTCACGTCTCCGTCGGCGGCGCGGCCGGCAACACACAAGCTATCCGTCAACAAAAACACAAGTGGTGCGCTGCGGGGCGTACAACGTTGCACACGGGGGCCGTTAACCCGGCAGCGACGGGCTACGTTTCGAAAACACCGCCGCCACACTGGAGCGTTTGGTGAATATTCGAAAATAGAACGAGTGCGCGTCGGGCACGCGCGGCGTTGCATGCGGCGTCGCTCGCGGGCGCTGCTGCGTCGCGACTCGACAAGGCGGACGCGGGCGTCGGGTGCGTGCGGGGATCGCGTCGAAAAGTTTCCAGTGCTCAAAGTTGGGATCGCGAGTTGGGAACGGCGCGGCGACGGCGCGGCAACCCCGCGACGCTCGGAACACGACTGGCGGCCGCGCTCGCTCCGCCGCGCCTCGCGGGAACACGCACACAGGCGCGCGGACGCACACTGACGTGCGCCGTACGCCGCACACCCACACGCCGGCACACATGCGGCTCGCGACTGATAAACAGCTTGAAAACACAACACCACGATGCAACTGCACTTAAACACACCCCAGCGTCCTGATATAGCCACGCGTGAGTGTCGGGCACAATAGATGGACCGCAATAATATCGGTAGCTGTTCTCTGCGAGTAAATCCGACGAGTTGTGACGTCACGACGCAGGACTATTCGACCACGATGATTTAAACTACTCAAAACATGGCCAGGCATACGCCAATACTATACTGTAAGAAATAAGCGGAAGGAATATTCCAAGCGAAATCGTTACTGTAACAACAAGTAATATTATCTTTAACGCTTGCTAGTTTCTTTCACCAAGTGATCTCTATTATAAAGATTTTCTATTACGAGGAACAATCGAACAGGAAATTCACCTGATGATATAATTGTAGACATCCTTCCTTAAAGCTTTATGTCTCTCATTACCTACACTGTTACTCTGTCTAAAAACAAACCGCCCCGCACACTGTACTATAATTCGAGAGGTTCTACTAACACGAAAAACCACAGTAACAGAATAACTCTTTATGGAGACAATAAATAAGTCACGTTCCGTGTAGGGATCGAATTCAAAACACAGCAAACACTTTGCAGTTGGCAAGGCCACCACCAAACCTACAGCGTTGTCTGTGATGTCAACAAATCTCTTATCCTTTAAACGAGCAATTCTTGTATATATATATATATATATATATATATAGAGATATATATATATACATATATACCCCATATATATATATATATATATATATATATATATATATATATATATATATATATATAATCGGAATCTCGGAAACGGCTCCAGCGATTTTCATGAAATTTAGTATGTGCGTAGATTCGGGGGCGAAAAATCGATCTAGCTAGGTTTCATTTTTAGAAAATGTCCTTTTATCCCTGTTTTTAGGGATTGAAAAATATCATTCGAATATGACGGTAATTTTTTTTTTTATGTGAAAAGTTGCCAAACGAGCCATGGACATCCCATGGACATCTGCTACACCCGAGGGTTACAGATGCGTTGACAACCTTTTGAAAATTGGGCGCCGGCTACCTCACTCACCAGACGCAACGCGAATGTATTTGTCATACTTCCACTTTACGCTGGTCTTCTGTGAGGTCGTGGTACTTACCCGGACGGGGTGCCCATTCGTGCAACAGCCGAGGCTGCCGCGTGGCCCTACCACCGTTAAATTTAAAAAAAAAATTAAATTTCGCCGCAAAAGAAAATGTTATAATAGCTCGGTCGGTAATCGAGCGGCCCCAAAACAGACGGCCGTGGTTCGTGTCACGATCATTTACGCACTCTTTTTTTTTTTACGTTTTTTCGATTCCAGATCACTGCTTTCTTTATTTTTTACTTTTTGTTGATCCAGATGATTTTGTTATTTTTTCCCTTTTTTTTAAGTTGTTTCTTTTGTGAAAAACACCACTTCATATTTTCTTATTATTAGGTCGGTAAGATTGAAAAATATTATCCATATTTCATTACTCAGTAATTTGTATCTAAATGTAATTTCCATACTACATACACGATTTACAAAAAAAAAAACAAACGATTGATTCATGACTCTAGGCTGTTAATTTCTTGGTTATAGTTTTAATTTGAATCCTAATCGATTTGTGAATGGAATTAATCGTTAATATTCAACATAAAATCCCGCGCTCTTTCAAATTTCGCCTGAGAATTAATGTTTATTAATGAGTCAGCTGCTGTGCGTAAATACAATGATCGAAATATTTTTCCGTCCACGAAACAACTTCCACTGTTGAATGAATGGACAATCTCGTCCGCTACCTTACAGAAGACCAGCGGGAAGAAGTGTAAGTATTATTACTTTTCCGTTACATGAGTGAGGTAACCGGAGCTAAACGTTTTTAAAGGTTTTCCGATGTTCTAGAGTTGACCCGTAGGTTGCGAAAGTCACTTCACATCAGATGACCGAGAAACACAATAGAACCGCCAGTTCGCTTGTCAACTCTCCACATATAAAAAATTCAAAACATGCGCGAAATGAAATGCATTCAAACGGCCGAGTAACACAAGGGAGTGATCAGCATGCTCATTACCGTTTCACTAAAGCGTATTTAACCGGCATTAGTGCATAAGTTTAATAAACCCGAATCTTAAGTGGGCAACTTTTTTTAATTTAAATGTTCGCATGTCATAATGAAGTGAAAAGGCAAAAGGTAGCCGGGGTAAACTATGTCATAGTAACTTTACTAATTGTAAAATAATTAGTGTTAAGACGTAAATCGCCACAGCTGTCCCGTTACTATGAACACTATTATTAGTATTCGAGACGGCAAAAATATACACAAAAAGTAAATACGACAAAATTCGTCGTATAATCCTATTTCACAATATGAAGTAATATATGTACCCGAATAGGCACTGCATTGTTACAATCCTACATACAACCATCAGTTCATCGCAATGCAGAACATACTGGTATTAAAGCCCCTAGAAAAAGCCACGTAGACTACGAAGTATGCGATTTCTTCAAAGATTTGACTTTGGCTCCAAAACTGTCAAATATTTCGAAATCATCCGGTGGATTAAAAGTTCGGAACGATGAGGACATTATTGATGTTTTCAACAGAAAAATTATAGTAAAAACTTGGCGCCGTATATACGGGCGCACAAAATGCATGAGGATATCACTGCTACAAAGCAACACGCACTATCGTATTCTCGAGGCCATGAAACGCAAAGTCAACTTCGTACCGCTAGGGTTGCCACAATAATCGGTAAAATAAATTAATTGGTACCTTAATAAATTAAATGGTATTGATTTTATTAACAACTTTTTTAATAAAACACTGGTACACTCAAAAATGTTCATAACGTTCATAATAAAAACTTTAAAATTTATGTATAATATGATAGTTTCATCATTAAAATGTTTGAACCATAGTTATAACATGGACGGCGTTTAGGCTTCCTAAAAGCATATAATAAATAAGCTTCAACCGCTATTCCAACAAAAAATATAAATGGTCTATAAAAAAATAATATCAAATATTACTTACATGTGGTCCCTATTTTTCTTACTCGGAAATTACCTGAAATAAACGCAAAAGTATTAGATTATAGACAACAATCGAGAGAAGTAGCGATGTTGAATTGGCTGCGTTTAACATGTTCCTAATATCAGAAACTTCTGAATGGAATGAAACTTTCGTATCGCACTCCAAACGGGTTTTCGGTTTCGGGTTGAGGGTTTTCGTGAAAAGAGCAAAGTGCAAATTAGGTTCGGTGTCATTCGGCTTCGGTGTCATTCGCAACGTTATACCAGAAAACTCAGCAAAGCCGCTTTGGCTCGTGAAACTTTCCTGCAATAGGACGCGACGTGAAAGATTTCCTCTCAATAGGATGGATAGAAACTGAAGAAGAATAGATTTTACCCTTTTTGTTTATACACTAAAATTGAAAATCGGTAGGCTGATTGAAAAATCCATGCATACTTGCAATAAAAATGAATGATTGGACATCGTTTACAGATGAAAGTTATAAAATGTTTACAATATTTATAAAATGTATTTTAAAAACATTGTACACACTTTCTATTGGCGCGTAACATTTTTTGGCATTTCAAGTGATAACCGCTAGCAATTTGCATTTAATGTCTTTTTCGCAAACAATGCAAGAAATGTCACAAGTACAATTATGACAGCTAAAAAATAGAAAAATTTAGAAATTTTTCAGACCCGACATTTGATATCACAATCTCAATTTTAGTCAAACTTTTTATACAGCGTGTCGTTACAACCACGAAAATAAATAACACACATATAGGGCATAACTTTTTTAAATTGTACTAAACATTTACATTCTTTAAACATCAATATTTACCGAGTTACTAAATTTTCCAAAACAAGCAATTTTAGAACACCGTTACGTATAAAACTGTAACGTATAGTTCATTAGTAAAGGTCACAATGCATATGAATGGGTTGAATGAATTTAAAAGAGATAAAACATACTGTTAGGAGAGTTTTGTATAGCGACGCTGTGTCAACGAATCAAAAAGTCTCTGAATGTATGAATCAGTCAGTTGTAGTTGTATAGAATGTTACAAATTTTGTTTCTTTTTTATTTAATTAGTTTGTTTGAAAAATATATTTTTTCAATTACGTATTTTTTTAATGTTTATATTTTTTATGATTATTGGTATGTAGCGTTAGACGTGTGTTCATTTATTGTCCCGGTTGTAACGACACGCTGTATATCCACTAGGTACCCGCGACTTAGTCAGCAGTACTTATTATACATCCAATCCAATCCAATCAGCCATTTGCAGTCCACTTTTGGACATAGGCCTCCCCAAGGGCATGCCACAGAGTACGATCTTCCGCTTTCCTCATCCAGCCACTACCAGCGTCCTTTCTCAGGTCATCGGTCCACCTGGCAGGGGGACGTCCGACACAACGTTTTCCGAGACGTTTTCTCCATTCGAGAACCCGTCTGCTCCAACGCTCATCGGTTCTATGACAGATGTGGCCAGCCCACTGCCACTTCAGCAGCTGGGCTGGGCAGCATTTGGAAATGCGTCATATCTTCTCGTCGCCACTACCACAATGCCTAAAAAGCGGGGTCTACAATCAGTGCATCCTACCAGTCATGACATACGGGACCGAGACGTGGAACATGACGATGAGGCTGGCCCACCGATTACATATCGCTCAGCGAGCTATGGAAAGATCTATGCTCGGTATTTCGCTAAGGGATAAAATCCGTAACGAAATTATCCACAAAATTGTCGATATCGTCCGTAAATATTATATACATTACATAATCAATATCATATAATCAATTCATGTTATAAGTAAAAAATATTTTAAAAAATGTGCCAATTGCCAATGTATATTTTCTTGTTTGCCAAATTCCCTTTTTGTAAAATTGAATGTAAGATATTATATTTGAAACAAAATCGCATTTCGGAATTTGATTTTTCTTCAATTTAAAGAACAAGAACCTTAGC